GAAAACTCAACATCAGCCAGTCACAGGAAATCAGCTAATGGATTGTATCGGGCTGCCCCCCAAACGGCACCAGCCCGCGGCCTCCGCAACAGATGAGGCAGGCTGAGGCCATCCACGCCTTGTTTTTTTTCAAGGGTGGGAAGTAAAGTACCACCGTTTTAAATGAAAGCCTAGCTCTCCAGAGCTGTCTGCGTGAATGAGGGGACCCCACTGGGCTCCTACCCCCCTAATATCCCTCTGACCATCATAGCGGTACCACGCGGAGCAGGTGAATCCGAGCTGCCTGTACGCCCCTTCCCTGCAGTCTTCTCTGCTCCCTCGGATGAAGCCACCTCTCGGACGTGGGACAGCTCGGTCGGGGGGGCAACGGGAGGGATCAGCGACCACAGGGCACAAGAGAAGGGAAGGAGGAACACAGTCCCTCAAGGAGCCAGTTCATGGAAAGGAGCACGGTTAGCTAGGCAAGGCAGGGAAATGTATGACTTTACGAATTAATTTAAGGTTAAATGGATCAAAAGAGAGAGTTAGCGGACTTTGGGCTTTATTGTTCGAGCGGGTTTGTGTCGTTTCTCTCCTGCAGTCCCATAGGTTAAGGAAAAGCCAAAGGCCAAGAAGATTCCTGTGGGTTCCAAGGAAAGATTCCAAGAAGATTCACGAGTTTTCCATTCCATGGCTGAAGCCGTGAAAATGCAGAAAGCACAGGGAGTCGGGTGGCAGAAGAAAAGGAAGGGTAGGGAAGGACTCTGTATCTTTTATCTCTTAAATGTTTAATTTGAGCTAAAAGTTACACTGCAAATTGAGAAGCAAAAACAACAAATAGGAACAGACTGAGACGGGAGCTGCAGAAAGACCTGGTGGACGGTATGCCCAACCATGCAATAAAAGATACAGGGCAGACGATGGTGCAGCTTTATCAGCACAAATTACTTCCAATCGCAGAAGCCACAAGTGAGTTATGCGGATCCTCCTGAACCCCTGCCAAGCAAAACTGTCCGGCCTCCGCTGAACACCGGTATAATTGGGGAAAAAAAAAAAAAGAATGAAACATTTATCTGGCAAGTGCTTTCAAAAAGAGAGAGCGGCTGTTGGGAGCTGCTCAAGGGGCTGGAATGCTGGAGATGGTTCCAGGAGGACGGATCAGCCGTCAGAGTGCATACGAGGCAGGCAGGGATTTCTAATAAAATGCAGTTTATCACAAGGTGATTACCACCTCCTATTTATATCATATGAGATCATGAAAAACATAGCACATATTTCGTTACTCCTGGAAACAACTGAAAGTCAACTGAACAACCATGTGATAAATTGGCCCTTTTCATGCACTTTTACTTTGTCTTTCTAAACATCTGTCACTTAGATAAAGCAAGCAATAAAAATCTACTAGAAAAATATTTTCTGTGCTCCCCCCCTAAAAAACCAACCCCATAGTAGATTAGGATTACGAGTCCAAATTCCAGGGCTGTTCCATTTAACATGTAAATCTGAATGGTTCACAAGGAAGCACAGACACTCGAAGTATGTAACATGTGAGAAAGGGCACTTCAGGGTCTCCAGAAAGCGCATCATCTATTTCTAACCGTTGCTGGTTACACAAAACAGGCGTTAAAGACACAACATGCTAAGATGTAAAGAAAAAAGTATTTCAGGTAAGCCTTTACGCCTTTAAAGAGCATGCCTTTCCCCGCTCCCCCTCAAAAGTTGAAGGGCTTAGAGAGAGGAAATACCGCATTATTTCCATGGTAAGGTTCTGCAGTCAAATTCGGGATAATACAGTAAAAGACTTCATTAGCACTCTTTCAGAACGACTTGTGTAACTTGCTTATAGCTTCGCCAGTTATGAGTAATGCAACAATCACTAAGATACACCAACACCACCTTTGTACCACATTTCTTTCACGCGTTGCCTGATGTCTCACCAGGCTCAGCCTCCTCCTAAGCGATCCCCCTGTCTTCAGCCGAGCAGTCCTGGCCGCGGCAGGCCTGTGCAGCCCGCCGCGCCTCTCACCTGCTCCTCACTTCACGGAATCGCTCCTTTTCGGTTGTGATGCTCTGTGACTGCTCTGAGCACAGCAGACGTGCAGCGCGGCTGCTCAGCAAAGTCTATTTCCCCTAATCTTCTTCCGATTAACCCGATGGTTAATCATCTCCCCCGACAGCCCAAAATAATAACGCTACAAAGATAATTCGTACTGGGTGACACCCCGGTACAGCGTCTGTGTGGGACTGCAGCTCCACGATCATTACAACCAGGTCTACACGTTGCTGGATCACCCAGGAGTACAAATTTGATCGGGATCGGGCCAAGGCACGTGATCACACTTCTGCTGAATGAGCCAGAGCGCACGATACGCAGCCAACGCCAATTTTACGCTGGCCGTGTGCCAGCCGCAGGGGTGCAGACGATACCTGATCTGGCTGGAGTTGCGTACAGTGATACCTGATCCGGCATAAAGTCTGCTAGCAAAAAGTTACCCTGTCAAAAACTTCTTGAATTAACTCGAGCCGGCAGGGTGAATGAATACCAGGTCAGCGCTTCGCATCATGCAGCCACCCCGTTTTTGAGCCAGCAATAGGAGCTGCGCTGCTGGGTTTTCTGCGTTGCCAAACCGCAGCCTAATGTCAATAGCGATGCTTATATGCGCGGGGATCTCATTGCCGGATCGGGGCCTAATCGTCCTTCAACTCGCGTTTCCTCCAACTCAAAGCAAAAAGGAAAGAAAAAAGCAGAATGAAATCCAAACGTTTAACCTCTAAGTTAGTCAACAGAGTCCACTAATACGGAATCTGTAGGTGAAGATGGAGCCACGGGCATTTCTGTAGCAGATAAATGTAGGTGATGATTAAAATAAGAGCCTGTTCCTTCAGGTTAGTGAAAGTCTCAGTACAGCAAACACATCAGCAACTAGGCTGATTTTAGCAGTATTTTAGTAATCCAAACTGTATTAAAAATGCGCCCTGTTGTGTTGAACAAATGTGAACTTTATTTTTTTCTTTACAGCCCTTTGGCACAGAAGAGCAGTCTTGCTCTTTTGAAACTGTTTTGAAAAGCCTTACCTGATCTCTGGTAGACCTTAACCCATTTTTAACACTGCCGCAATAGTGCCCAGTGTTGAAACATGCAGAGTTACTATTACACAAGGCTACAGACATATAGGAAACGTGGATTTCAAACATTCTTTCTTGAAATTGCTGGAAATCACTGGAAATTGCTCGGTTTATGTGAGTACTTCAACTATTTTCACAGCTAGTTCAAGGAGACCATTAGCTGAAAGCCATTTTCAGAAGTTTTTCCATTTCCTATCACGGAGGCCTTAAAATCGTCCACCCAGAGATCCAGCAACCTTGACAGTTACCCAGATCTCCGAGCTATTTACAGCCACGCTCCTATCGCTCCTGCAAGGATGCCTAGACAGGGGGTTCCCAAATTTTGGCCCTCAAGGTCATCATGCCGTCTGGAGGCCAAACCGCAGACAGCAGCAGCCTGCACTCCAGCAGGCACAGGCGAGGCGGTGGCCCGCTTTCCCCTCGCCGCCCTGTGCAGCAGCATGAGCCCCTGTCCCTCCTGACGGGGCCCGGCGGCCCGGGGCTCCCCGGAGAGCTCAAGGGCCCGTTTACCAGCCGGCCCACGGCAACCCCTGACGCCGAGGGGGGCCGGTAGCAGGCGCCCGGGGCTGACGGGGGAGCAGAGAGGCCTGAAGTGAGGGGGCTGGCTGGACTGCGGTGCGGGGCTGCGCGGAAGCGGGGGTGCTCTCCGCCGTTCAACCCTCCTCACGGCGGCGGGGGGG